TCTTGAAAAAGGCTTATCCCTGTCAACCCATTACTTTTGCTCGCAAAGACATAGGCAAATGAAAAAAAATCCCGTAAGAACATCAAAAATATAAATGATGCAGACTTGGGTAAACACGACATAATTTTAAAAACCCCGGCCCCCTAAAAAACCCTTTTTGGGAAAAAACTTAAGCTTCAAATATAAAACCTTTCCAAAGCCCGTTTGTGTTTGTACGACGACGATCGTTTAATCTTCCAACTAACCTTGTACAGAAAATCCTTATTTATACAAAAAATCTACATTAAACCGTCATGAAACTTCCATGCTGCCCCTTTGACAATTTAACAAACAACTTAGTTCAATAAACAGATATACAATGTACATTTGCACAAACGTTCTATTCCCTTACTTTTCAGATATAATTTTTAAATGTCTCTCCTTATTTATTACAGAATTTTTTACTTTGAACTATCTAAAGAAGCTAAAAGCTTGTAGACACTTCTCTCGATCAGCCATTAGTAAGCAATAAATGATTTAAATGTCTTCTTCAAGGGTTACAGCAGTTTTTTTTGACAGATGCCTGAACCAACGTAGAGTACTAGTCCGATAACAAGCTGGTAAGGGGTAAATGATTTACATTTGACATTTCAAAGAAAATCAAAATCTCTTTGTACTTCTAAAACGGCTTTATAACATACACCGTATCATTACCGATTGAATATACATATTTGAAATATGTATAGTTATATTGTTATTCGCTGATTATATGGTAATAATTGTTATCCCACAAGAGGATTTAGAGCAAAGATTAAACTATTTTTATGAACACTGTAAAATCAGTTATAAAATCATGTATGTTTGCATGCCATACTATCGGTCTTACAGTTTCGTTTCGGTAAAACTGATTTAATATGGGATTATTATTATAATAGAAATTAATACAATATTATCAATGTTTCTTGCCTCAATAGTGAGGCAAGCCGTGTGTTTAAAAATTAAAATTTTTTTCCCATTTTTTTCCATTCCCAAGGCAAGGGGAAAAAAAATTTTTTAACTTTTTTTTTGGGGTGGGGGTTTTTAAATTGCTTAAAAAATCACACGGGGTTTTAAATTTTTCAAATAAAAAAAAGCTCTTCTGATGCACAACATGTCACAGAGTTTTTGGGGGGAATTAGAAAAAACTTTTAAAAACCTGAAAAAGGTAAAAGTCCATGTTTGAAAATCAAAATTCTTTTTATAAATTATTTTTTATTTTATCACAAAAACCCCAATTTTAACGTCCCAAATTGAGCCAGTCAAATAGCCCCAATCTTTTCAAAAAAACTTAACCATTGAGAGGGGTAACGACTGACGCATGTCACTTTCTTCATTTTTGCCCCCGGGTTTCCTGTTTAATTTCGGTTTCCGCTTTAAAAATTGTCCCCAAATTTAAAAAATTTATACTTGCTTTTAGTATTCTTTTGAGGGGTGGGGAAAGGGAACCAAGGAAAAAAAATTTTTTTTTTTTTTTTTTTTTTTTTTTTTTTTTTTTTTTTTTTTTTTTTTTTTTTTTTTTTTTTTTGGTTTTTTTTTTCAATTTTTTTTTTTTTTTTAAAAAAAAACCTTGTCAAATCTTTAAAATTTAACAAATTAAAAAGGCCTGACCCGAGCCCACTATCAGAAAAGGCGGTTCCCCCTCAACCTTTTAGAAAGTGGGGCCCGGTTAAGCTAGGGCCAAGAAAAGGGGAAAAATCCCCTGAAAAACAGAAAACCCCTAAAATCAGGCGAACATTAGGGAAATTTCTTTACCAAATTTTCTAAATGGCCCATATTCGGGGCCATATTGTCTTAAATTTTTTTTAAAAGTAAAACCAATTTTTTCCCAATTTAAATTTTTAAACTTGTTATCCTTTTTAATTTGCTTCGACCAGACGTTTCAATCTTTGTCGCAACAGACAATCATTAAAGAATTTCTGACATGGCATAACTTTGTGAATTTATGCATTAGATTCTACTTTTTCACAAAAATATGCAACTTAATTATTAAACAACGAGCACATACCAAGAACATTGAGAACAAATTGATTTGTGCTTCGGATATTCAACTGTAATAGAGAACGATTTTCAATGCTGATTGACTGTTCACATCACTTCGCGGCGTCTTTGAAGTGCAGCATCAACATTAAACTTTTTTTTTAAATGTTTATATGTTGTTTTTTTTCCATAGAAATTGTAAGCTAGTAATGTTGATATTAAAATGAGATTATTCTGACATACATTTATTTTATGTATAATCATTTTTTTCCCTGAAGCAATATATGTTCATTCTCCAATATACTGTAATTTTTTTAATTATATCATGTGTTTAGCTATTAATAATTTTTGATATGTGTAATATAAAGATATATTATGCTCATCCTTGGGTTAAATATTTTAATCAAAGAAATTTATTGAAATCTTTGAAATTCATATTGCATATGTCTAAATTGAATAAAACGAAAATGAATAAACTGTGTTTTGGAAGCTACGTTTCCTATTACAGGACAGTTAAATATGGTATTCTTTTTTTAAAAAACTGCCAGTTTTTTTTAACGACACTATATATTCATATTGTGATCACCCATAGTGTGTAGTGTTTTATACATGACATATCTACTTTGTGTGAAGTCAAAACATGTTTATTTTATATTTGCAAAGAGACTGTGTAGCAATTTTCAATATTTTCTGAATAAAATTTTGAGGTTTGGGTATATTTTTAAAACAAGATATTTTATTGTATAGGTTTACGACTAAAATTTCTGTTCTGTTATTTCTTTTAAACACCCAAAATTTGTTTTTTCCGACGGTTTTCTAAGAAAAAAAAGGGCCTAGAAAATTTAATAATGAAAAATATTTTTAAAAATTTAAAGGGAATTTTTCCCAAGCCCAATTTTCTTGAAACCCAAAAGGGAAATTGTAAAGGTTTTTAAAAAAGTAAAAAAAATTTTTTTTGGCAATTTTTACCCGGGGTTTAAATTTTCAGATAATTTTTTTTTTCCAGTTTTAAATGGTGATCAGATTCTTTGATTTTTTAAAAAATTTACCCACTGTTGCGGTTCCCCGCAAATTGCAGGGGAAACTCCCCTTCTTAAACCAAATCCTTTGTGAAGAAACGGGGGCCCGGGGGATCCGAGTTTTCCCCGTTAATTTAAACCCCGAAATATTTTTGGCCTTTTGAGAGACAAAACCCTTTTTTATCCTTGAACGTTTATTCCTTTATATTTTTTTCATTTTTTTTGGGTATTTCATAACTTTTAATTTTTTTGCTTTAAAAAATCAAATAATATTCAATAAAAAAGAAATATGAATTTTTTTTCTTCGGGTTTCAATGGAGAGCTTTTTAAAAAAAATATGTTTTAAGGGTTAGAACGAAGTATATATTTTTTTCCTAGTTTTTTAAAATTTAATAAAATTCTTTTATAATTGTATTGACCCTTTCTAAAAATTCCCTTAGGAAATTTCAAAATTTTTTTTTGTATTAAAAATTTTAAAAATACTGAAAAAATAAAATTAAAATGTATTCCAGATTGCCTTAATCTTTTCCCAAAAGTCGTGACAATACTATGTTTTCAAATATGTCGTGAATAAAAATATATAAATATTACAAACAATTACAAAACAAACATCATGGAACATATAATATGCATATAAAATTACAAATAAAATGTTTTAATTTAACCCTGAACATATAATTATTTCTGAAACATATGGGAAATTTTGCATGTTCGTTTTGATTAACAATTGAAATACCTCGTGAATAAAGATAATTTTTTCCACGGCACGATGCTATATTGAATAAACAGTTTTGGTAACATGAAATGCAGGCGATAAAAAACATTAATTAAGTTTTTATAATTATAAAGTGGGTGCAGCCGGTTTATTTGTTATAACTTTCTAAAGACAACGCAAAATAGAAGTTTCTTGCTCAGAATATTAAGATTTCTAAAGGATGTTCTCACCAGGTTGTTTCATCTTTGCGTGCTCTTTTCCTTGTACTAGTATGCAGGTAGGTATTTTCACATTCTGTAAGATTATAATGAGATTTAATAGCATTATGAGAATGAAGTTGTTTTATTTTAAAAAGGGTTGTATTTGCAAACATTTGTTGTTGTTGTTAATGATGATGATGGTGATGTTATTGTTGTAATCATTGTCGTTATGATTGTTGTTTTCGTCGTCGTCGCCGTCGTTGTGTTAAATTTTAAAATAAAAAAAAGTAAATTTATAGGGATACAATGCTTAAAATATTTGATATACCTTTTACTGCACTTTTTATCTTATGTATGAGCACAAAATCGCAATTCGAGTCATTTATTTCAATGTACGTATTAGCTGAATCTGCATCTAATTATATCAATAGTTACTGCTACACAACCACCTGCTGAATAAAATTTTATGCATTTTCCGACAAATATTGTAATGTCTTTTTTGAAAAGACAAATACTGTAATGTCTTTTTTGAGGCTTCTGACATTAGTTTTTTGCAAATCCTTCCTTTATTATCTATGTATTTTCTCTCAAAAGCACTAGGTATAAATGGCGAAGATTCAGACGACAAACACAGATTTCTAGATGATCTTAACGATGTTATGTTGTCTAGCATCGACGTTAATCAAATACAAACTAAACAGCGCAAGAGAGAAATGGATCGTAACCAAAATTTAGAGAGGACGGAGCGTGGACCACCTGGGGAGAGTGGAATACATCCGAACTTTGAAGCTCGATCGGCTTGTTTACCAGGATTGCAAGGCTGTCCCTCGGCCGGTAAACATAATGTCAAGTAAAACGGCATTACGTTGACTAAACACAAACTGAATAATTTTAAAGATAATAAGTTCTTATTATCTAAAGGAATGCTGCATAGATCAGAATGGTGATACACTTGACTTTGATATTATTAATTCGACATATAAGATGATAATGAGATAAAAAATCTTTAATATTTATTAGCATGTTTAAGTTTAATGAGCTTTATTTTTGTTTTTAGGTATTTTCATGTCAAAGAGAAATTCTATTTTAAATAAAAGAAACATGATGTCGAATATTTTGATTTTATTTGATGCTTTTGAATATAGAGACCAATCTCATGTAAGTGTTAAGAATTATTCATACAAACCAGTTTATATCATGCTTAAATAGGTATTTCTTGCAACCTCACTCATGCTTGTCTATCTCCTTTGTACACCCTATTGTTGTGACAAGATGACCTGCTTAGCTGAGTAAGTTAAGCATCAGATCCGCCTGTGCAAACATCACTGGTATTTATGTTAACCTTTTTGCATTGGATTTTAGTTCTTTTTCTATTAACAAACATTTAATTTGTTTAAATATATTTGCGTGAAAAAGTTTCTAATTTGGGACACTTGTTATTTTATGATAAAAGGAAATCAAACTGAAATATTCAAACTACAGTATATAACTGAAGTAACGTGTTAACTCGGATTAAAGTATGTAAGAATCGAACCCGTTACTGCACTTAATTAAGTGATGATATTACAAATCTGCTTTGACGAAAATGTTTCCTAACCAAAATATAATTATAGTTTATACTGTTTTGGAATGGGAAACAGGGCAGATGACACAACTGTTGTAAAGATTTTTCTTATTTTAAGTTCTCATCAGAAATTCATTTCGGATAAACGTTCTCATTCTTTTTAATAAATAAAATATTGCAATTATTTTGTTAAACAAAAAATGTGAAAATGAATGACATTTACATTTGAATGATGATAATAATATAACATTAGATAATACAATGTTCTGTATTTAAGTGCATAAAGAGGGTATACAGAAAGATACATGTGTATTTTGAAATGCTTTCATTTCAATTTCTTGACAATAATACTTTTAAGCTGATAAGAATATTACTAATAAAAATATGTTATGTTTCTTTAATCCAACAAGGATAGAACATATAAAGTAAGCAGTATGTAATAAAGTATACAATGTACATGTATTTTAATTAACATTTTCCGCGCCTTTTCCCAACCCTTCAGTGTCGCTAGATAGAGATATCTCGCTGTTATCTTGATTCTCCAACATCTTGGGTGGCTCATCGTTAACCTCATTTTCTGGTTGAACAGAAGACGTTCTCATTTTCTTCCTTTTCAACAGGAAGAACAGCGTGCAGGCAACCGTAGATAAAACAGCTATTATCCCAAAAACAGACCCAAGTATGATGCCAAGCGAATCTGAAAATATAATTAACAAGTACTTTGTTAAAATTAGACGACACATTTTATGACATTCGTTCGTTTTAAAGGCTATAACATCTATATGTCTATTGTAGAATAGTGTATCAATAATCATGAAGTACATACTCAAAAGTAAAGTATATTGTACATTGCTTATCACTCTTATCTTTCGTAACTTGAGATAAAAAATGTAGGAGTTAAACTATTACTATGCTCATCCTTGAGTAAAATATTTTAATCACAGCACAAAAATGTATTGAAATCCATGAAATTCTAACTGAATTTATCTTATTTGAATAAAAAATGAAGAGAACTATGTATGGGAACCTATGTTCCCTATTACAGGTAAAGTAAAGGTGGATTTTTAAAGGCACTATACATATATATTGATATTTTGGTTTCCTAAATTATGTGATATTTTAAACATAACATATCAACTTTGTGTGAATGGAGTGCAGTCAAAAGATGTTTTTATATTTGCAATTAGACTGTGTAGCGATTACCAAAATTTTCAAATGCAAAATTGAGCATTGTATTTATAAAGCACTGGTTGCTTGTCAGTTATTACATTTATCTTTCATTATATAATGGAAAAACGAAAACAAGTAAAAATCACCAACCCCCTTCTGTACTGCTGCTTGAATTTTGCAGAAATGTTTCGGTTCCATTAGTGTCATTGTGTAGGGCAGTGTTTCCATTTATAGTGGACGTGTCAGTATGGAAATGAACAGGCGTGTTAATGATACTCGATATAGTAGACTGATTGGAGGCTAAACTTTGAAAAGTTGAAGGTGTCTTGGACTGTGCCGTCGATGATGCCTGTAGATTTTCTGAAATATTACAGATAACAACAGCTGTTACACATAAACAGATATAAGTTTATATCTTAGGAAAATATCGATGTAGCGATACAATTAAGCAAGCTCTTTCCGGTGTTGCCAGTAAAAAGTTGGTTTTATCATAATAGTAAAGTCTCTTTACAACCTTAAAATTAGATTAAATAGCATGATATTTAAACTAGACGAACCACATTTGATGTTGGTGTAAACATAACGCAGATGTCGAGACACTTAAGACAATCTTGATATAAGTGCCTGTAAATGATTTGTCGTTATAACAAAACTATAATGCTATAATACTACATTTCACAATATATAAAATCCAGTTGAAAAATATAAAATAGAGAAAAACAGAATCCCTAAAGGAAGCACAAACACAGCAAAATTAAAATTGTTGCAGACTCGGTTTGATTGACCCTGTTTATTACTCATAAGTTTTTTTTAAGGTAATGGATAATGGTAAAAGTCAACATTGAAATTTACAAATATGAACATGTTTAGGGATCGGTTCGACTGAGTCAGTTCAAGAGCGGACACGAAAACTTGCAAGCCACTGTCTACATAAAACCACATTGAAAACAATTTTCATCCTACATGTAATCGAAATAATATTTAATAAATGCATTGAGTTTCTTTTTCAAAGATGTGTCATGAACATATAATTTTCCTGTTTGTGTTTCATATTTTACAATACCATAGCTTTGTTTTATTAATGCTTTTTTACGTAGATTTAAACCAGACTTTGTTTTATTGCGAAGTCAATTCAAATACAGTACATAAATCAAGTATTAAAAACAACAACCTGCATGGGTTGAGTTTATGTTAGGTGAATTAGATGCAGCTGACATTGTAACTGGAAATAAGAAAATAAACATTGGTAAAATTGGTAGAATATACGAATTTTATAAGAAATTAAATACTCCTGTCCCTTAAATTACATCAATAGCTAAATGGTATTGTAGAATACATTAAAACTGTTCTGTTATATCAGTTTATGTCACTTTCAATACAATGTAGTAAACAAGTAGTAAAAAACAAACACCTGCATGGGTTGAGTTGATGTTAGGTGATTTTGATGCAGCTGACATTGTTGTTGAAAATTAGAAAATAAATACATGCATTGGTGGAAAAAAATAGAATATTCGAATTTAATCGAAAAATTAAAAAAAAAATATCCCTTAATGACACTAATAGCTAAATAGTATTTTAGAATACCCATTGAAATACGTTATTGTCTAAGTCCAAAGTCATAATGCAATACAATGGAAAAAAACAACAAATGCCTGCATGGGTTGAGTTAACATCAGTGGACGGCGATATAGGTGACATGGTAGAGAAAGGAATCTCGTCTGAAAAACAAAATGCAATTATTTACAAGGAAAAAAGCTAAATAATCATATAACTGGACCATTTTAAACTTATTATGCTAAATTACATCAATAGGTTATTTTGAAGAAAAAAACTTTATGAATATATAATTTCACATGTTTAGATCAAATTCTGTCTTTGTTTACTTAAAACATAATTTCCATTTCAAAAACGTGTACACGAATTCGAACTTGATCCTGCTGAAAATATTGTAACGAAAATATTTGACTGCATTAACACGCCTGGTAAATGATTGAGCTACCTCTTTCGGAGGTATACGGTAAAACGCTATATCGCTACTTCCGAGCTAGTGTATGTCGCTTAAATCAAGTGTCAAGTGTTTCATTTTTAGCTCACCTGTCACAAAATGACATGGTGAGCTTTTGTGATTGCTTTTCGTCCGGCGTCCGTCCGACCGTTGACCGTCCGTCCGTCGTCCGTCCTTCCGTAAACTGTAACTTTAAACGACATCTTCTCATTCCCACTAGGCCAATTTCATCCAAATTTCACAGGAATGTTCCTTTGGTAGTCAACTGTTAAATATTGTTCAAAGAATTTAATTCCAAGCAGAACTCTGGTTGCCATGGCAACCGAAAGAAAAAAAACTTAAAATATCTTCTTTCAGAAAACCCCAAATAGCTAAAGCTTAAATATTAAGCATGAAACACCTTCTAGTAGATGTCTGCCAAGTTTGTACAAATAAATGCCCTGGGGTCAAAATTGGCCCCGCCCCGGGGGTCATTGATTTTCCTTATTTGTATATAGTAAAAACTTTAAAAATCTTCTTTTAGAAAACCGCAAGAGCTAGAGCTTACATATTTGGCATGAAACATCAACTAGTCAGTGTCTACCAAGTTTGTTCAAATAAATGCCATAGGGTTAAAATTGGCCCGGCCCCGAGGGTCATTGATTTTCCTTATTTGTATATAGTAAAAACTTAAAATATTTTCTTTTAAAAAACCGCAAGAGCTGAAGCTTAAATATTTGGCATGAAACATTTCCTAGTGGGTGTCTACCAAGTTTTTTCAAATCAATGCCCTGGGGTCAAAATTGGTCCCGCTCTGGGGGGTCATTGATTTTCCTTATTTGTACGTAGTAAAAACTTTAAAAGTCTTCTTTTAAAACCCCAAATAGCTACAGCTATGAATATGAAGCATGAAACATCTTCAAATGAATTCATTGATTCTCATTATTTTGTAGAGAGTAAAATCTTAAAAAATCTTGTTTTTTAAAAAACCCAAAGAGCTAGAGTTTAAATAATAAACATGAACTATTTTCTAATAAGTGTCTACCAAGATTGTTTTAATAAAAGCCCTGGGGTCAAAATTGGTGTCATTGTTTTTTCCTATATGTATAAAGTAAAAACTTAAATAAAATTTATCATAAAAACCCCAAAAGGGTAAAGCTTAGATAAATTATCATGAAACATCTTCCAATGGCTGTTTTCTAAGTTTGTTCGAATAAAAGTCCATGGTATAAAATTGCCATTGGCCCAGGGGCCTATATACAGGTGAGCGATTTCAGGGCCATCATGGTCCTCTTGTTTTATATATTTTGTCATACCAAATATCGCAATTCGGAGAATGCCTTGCCATGAAGATTTGATTAAAGTTTCCAGAAAACGTAAGGTTGTGATTAAATGTATGTCACCTAACAAGGTACAGTAGCAAAAATATTGTAGGTGCGGTATGTGTGGTTTGACGCTATTATCTTTAACTGTACGTGTATACCCGCCAATGTCAACTAGTACCAGAATAGATGTCGTTGAATAAAACATTATCATATAATCGGAATATCTGCTGACATGTATATACAGGGATGACCATTTTATGCAGCCTAAGCGATTACAAAATAAAATATTAGAAAAAAGTCACTATAAGCGAATGCAAAATAGAAATATTTGTAAGATATTGAATAAGGCTAAGAAATGAACTTAAATACGATTTTTAATTAATTTCTAAAATTTCTTAACCGCCTTTTATTTTCTGTTATAAGTGCAAGAGCTGATCTATGTAAGAAAATTCAAATTCTGTTTGTGTATGATTTGTTGACGATATAAACCATTAACCTCTTCGTAAAACTTCTGGCACCGCATTTTTCTAACCGGCACTCCATTTTCCCAAAATAAGAACTTTTCATGTAAAATGGAATGAAACTAAAAAACGTCTTCGCGCTGTTAAAACAAATTGGGCACTGGATCGCAATCAATATCGATTTAAAGTTTTATTCTCAGTATATAAGTATATTTTCAGCATTTAAGGCATTTCTTCCACTTTAAGTTCTCTTCCTGATTTGTGACAGAATGACAAATTTCGTGTTTTAAGGCTTTATAACATCAGTGGAATTCTTTTTTGTAACAATATCAACAATTATTCATGTTTAAACGGATCATAAATCGGATCATAGATAAAAATCACTTGGTCATAGAAGTATCAAATCGCTATATTATATAGGTCAACATAACAGGGCTTATGGTACTTGATATAAGTGTTCATTGATAGATATCACACCACTATCTTTAAAAAAACTGATGTCTCATTGAATACGCTGTAACATGAATCTGAATCAATCGGGCCGCATGGCAATATTTTTTCTATAATTTTAAGATTTCAATGGTTTTTCAGATTGTTGGACAATACATGCAATCAAATACGATTTAAAGATTACGAGTTTGTTTAACAAAATGAGGGTAAATAATTTTAATATTTATTACAAAGGAAACTTGTAACTTCAGCAATGTCTGACTTTTATTAGTAACCAATGAAGTTAGATAAGAGCCCATTTGAGGCTTAGGTAGTTCCTATGTTTATATTCTTTCATGAATATAAGTATGTTTTTAGTATTCTTGTAAATATATTTCGTTACGCAAAATCCTTTCGACCGTTCTCTTTTGTGTCGCACGTTACTCAAAAAGTATTTGACCTAGAGTCATGAAACTTTACAGGAATGTTGATCAGCATGTGTTGTTGTGCACCTGGGTATTTTCGTCTGGATATTTTAGTATGTTTAGAGTAATTGCCCTTGACTTAAAATTTTTTGCAACTTTCAACTTGTGTCGCATGTAACTCAAAAAGTATTTGGCCTAGAGTCATGAAACTTTACAGGAATCTTGATCAGCATGTGTACTTGTGCACATGGATAGTTTTGTCTGATTTATTTAGTATTTTTAGAGTTATTGCCCTTGACTAGAAAATGTTTGCAATTTTCAACTTGTGTCGCATGTAACTCAAAAAGGATTTGACATAGAGTCATTAAACCTTACGGGAAGGTTGCTCAGCATATTTAGTCTTGCACCTGGGGTTTCGCTTGTGGATCTATACTGTATTTGTAGAGTTATTTCCCTTGACTTAGTGAAAGCCGTTTCATTATGTTATCACTTGTTCTTGGGTGCTTGAGTAAGAATCGACCAACTTTACAGGAATAATGATCAACATCACTAAATTACAAGAATAATGATTTACAGCACTGTGAAGCTATGCACCTGGGACTTTGCATGTGGATTTTTTTCAGTTTTGTTAGAGTTTTTGCCCTTGACTTACAGTATTATAAATTTGCAATTTTCAACTTTTTCATGCATAGCTCAAAAAGTATTTCACTTGTAGGCATGAAAGTTTACCAGAATGATGGTCAGCATGTGTACTTATGAACCTTGGGGTTTGCTTGTGGATTAATTCAGTATTTATAAAGTTCTCGCCCTTTACTTAGTAAAAGATTTTTTTAGTTTTCAAAACTATTTGACACAGTGTCATAAGATTGACAGAACAGTGGCGCGGTTGGGGCACCCGTGTCCTATGGACACATTTCTAGTTTAGATATGTTATAATTATTTAAAGCTTTCAATGAGATTCATGAACTTTAACTTGATAAGTAAAAATGTATGCCGCCAGCAATCATTCGCAACACCAGACCTCTCCAATAACGTGCATGTGATCGAGATATTCAAATAAACACAAGCTGCAATTTTAATCATAAGGCTTTAACAGCACACATAACACAAATATTTATAATTTAAGCCTGGATCAATCAAATTGCACGTGCGCTGTTTTCTACTCTTATCAGTGACATGACATTGCTTAAACTTTGCGATACAATATGATATACACCAACTTAATAAGTTATTGTTAACAAATGTGGAAACACCCGGTCGGTCCTCAGCCATGTAATTATAAGATGCATTTGTTTCGTTCAACACAAAATATTTAGACTGGATTTTTTGTAACATTTTCTGAAAATTTCATTTGAATTTTTGTCAAGCATATTACCGTCGAATCCAATTGCATATAGTACTGCCGTCTAAACCAACCATAAAACTGATCCTAAAAAAATATTTTATAAATACCTTCTTAGTCTACCGTATAAAACGTTATCGCAAAACCCATCAAAACGAAAACACACTTACCGAAGTTGGACAACTGCATCCCTCCCGGATACCCATACCCTACAGCGTTTATTTCTCCTAGTCCATACACTTGTAGTCCGAACTTAACATTGCTATTAATATGGTAAATGTGGTGAAATCCGAAACTTACGTTCATTATTAAAACAGTGTAATTATCTAATGGTGCCGATACATTAAAGATGTCCTCTTGTGCATCTGTTAAATTTGATTCGTCAAGAATAAGTCCATCCATATTCACCTTTGGTATGATTACAGAAATATGGTTACTGGCATTTATGTAAACACTGGGAATCGCAAAATAATAAGCATTTAAAAAATTCTGAAGACCTTGTATTACAGTCATAAAAGGGTCTCCTATATTCACTTTTGGATACAACTTGCCAAAGCCAAATTGGAAGACGGAAATGATACTCTTTGATACAACTACAGTCGGTGTGTTGCCCATTCTTATAAAAACGGATGAGTCGTGCCTACAAACAGTTTTCGAAATATTATGAAAACATGTTGAATCAGTTACTGAACTATTAAAATGTGTAACTTTGAGCTCATACGCTTCCTTTGGTGGTGTAGGTGGTACAATATAAATATTGTCTAAGGCCTGAAGTGGAAGCATTTGTTCAGTTATAATATCACAATATCCAACACCATGTGGAATGTTCGCACACTTAGTTCCAGATATCACTGTGACTGGCTTGTCTGACGTGACTGACATACCCTGAATGTCAATAACGGTGGTGAATTGAAAAACATCAAGTTGATTTAATGTAAAATTATGCAAGGAGTTTCCGTCGTTAATATATCCTTGAGTTGTAGAATTGGTGGCTACGACCATTATGAATATGTTTTCTGATCGTAAGGGCTCATACGCAGCGACTGTATAATACTGTCCAATCGCTGATACAGGCAAAACAAGGAATGAATCGGCACTACCTTCATTATAATTAGTTGCGTATACGGATACGTCATGGCTGGTGGTAAGATAAATCCCGCGGTTTTCTATAAAATTTCCAAACCGTGCAATACTGCAATTTATCTTAATTTCTGTTAATTTCCCAATCGGTCCACCTTTGTCTAAATTTAGAAATGGTATGCTTATATTATAGCTGCCTGAAGATGACGAAGCTATAGTTATTGACACGTCCCCACAGGTAGTCTCTGCATTGTGGGGAATTCCGAAAATAAACTCTCTTCCATAATGACCTGTTGGTAGAATATAAATTACGTTTATGTAAACAATGTCGCGAGATGACTTTTGCAATACTTGACTAGATCATATATTTGCTTTTAAAAATGCAAGTCATTGGTACGCTTATGATAATGCTACTATAACAATTTTTCTGTGAGATATTGCGATAAAATGTTGCAAATTATTTTTAATTCTTATAATTCATTTTGGCTAGTGGAACCAAAACTCAATGTAAAAGTTATTCAACGTCTTCTTTTTTCTTAATTCACTTTTTTCAAGTTGAATATTAACAAGTGGATCAGCTGTGAAAGCTAAACGCCTTTATGAACAAAAACGAAAAAAAAAGAGTAAAATGTGCGTACTTTTACCACTTGTCTGAGTGAAAAGTGCATTTACCTGAAATAAAATTTAAAAAAATTGAAGAATAGTAAAATTCCACCATAACAATGTCTAGTATACCACAATATAATTTATTTAAGATAAAACATTTAACCATAGAAAGCAATTTCTGAAACTAACAGCTATATGTTTAGTGCTTATATTTTTGTTCTCCGGTTACTTTATATCGAAATTAATATTATCTTTACAAACTCCTTATTTACATTTATAATATAAACAAAATCACAATCAAAATAGGTAGTTAAAAATATTAATATTACCAGAATATAAAAGAAAATGTTCCACATGTTGCCAACACCTTAAAAAAGTTGTATATACTCCCGGATGATCTAGCTTTTTCAATATTATTTCAGTTGAAGAGCTAGAGATGCAAGTTTTATATAATTGTCGCACATTTATCATTGACTTTTATCTCAAAGACATCGCGACCTCCGATCTCGAATAATGTTGGAATAACTCACAAATCAAAATTTATCTACAATAAGTGAACTTTAATCTCAAATAGGAAGACAAATGTAACTATTATCTTATATAGTTTCAAAATCAAAACTTGTAAGCCTTCTTTGCGTCTTAAATTTTAATAAAAGATTTAGTTAATGTACAAACCGAGAGTATATCAAAGAACATCAATTAATATTACACCTTATTTGCATACGCTCTTCTATATTTAATATGACGTCATCCGGTCAGTAAACCGCATACAGACCGGGGGCGGTCCATAATTCTTATATGGTTTTGATAACATCATGTTTGATACAGGAAGGCGTATGCAAATGAGGTATATTTCATTTTGTTGTTAAATGATTTTTTTTACTGAATTTGTTGTTTTGTTTCACATAAATTTATTAAATGTTGATTAAAATCACGATTTATAAAGTCTTTAAATTGATTATAAATTTTATTTATACAGTTTGTGAAAATCTTAAAGTTTGGGGTTTTTTTTGCCTGTTAATTTTGATTAACAAAAATTGAATTACAAAAGAAGAGCACGATTTTTTTTGCTGTATCGCTTGGAAATAATAATAAATAATCCGACTAGGGTTTGAGATATTTCACACACTGAACAAATAAATTATTATTTGAAAGTAAATTATAGTAAACATTAAAGCAACAAAAGGGATGAAATGATTTAGATTCGGTATAATATAACAAATAAAACATGGCCTTTCTGGCAAAATGCAAGTTAAAGGACTGGTTGGTCAGACCTCTGAATGTATATGTCCCTCAGCTGCGCTTCGGGCCATATACCTTCCTCAGTCTGACCAATCAGTCCGTAAACTTCCATATTGCCCTCAAGTCCGTGTTTTAATTGTTAATTATATTATAGTTGTCTTTGTTTGAATAAATAATGAATCTTTTCTTGTATTTACCATTACAAAAGTATTTGTATATTCAGGGGAAACAAGAAGTATCTCTAAAAAAAAAAATACTCGGCCGGAGTAAAACTGGGTAACTTGCATATGCTATTTGGATACAGACAGAATGTTAGCAATGCTTGCTTAACAATGATATAATAATTTTTAAAAGTTGTCAAAGTATAGGATAACTTCTATTTTACAGTATTTATTTAGCTGTCCCTATTATTTGTTTTTACGTTTGACTTTAAATTGTGTAATCTTATGCAATATTTACAGTATGGATTTAAAAAAATCACATTATCGTGAAATACTGAAAATAGAAATAAACCATACTGGATAATTAGTATAAAACCAACACACTACTTACAAACGTTTTATCTTAAATTTAAGGCAAGCAGCTACATTAATGATGGAAAAGAAAAATATAAAACACTGTAAACATTTTGTTAACCGGTCTTGGTTTCACAAACAAAAACTACATGTATTGTTATTACTAGAAATAGAACTGAAAGTGGATCATAATTCCATCCATTACATTACTTGTGTGAAGGTTTGGCGATCTGAAGCCATATATACTGAATGTCATTTTAGATTTAAAGTGAAACTATGTCCATCCAAGTGTATATAGTGAGTGAACAGGTGAATATCAAAATTAGTTTTCATTTTGCCACAATTCCTTTTAATTTGATAATTTAGTTCCCATAATCTATAAATAATACACAGATCCAAATAAAATTTCTGTAAATATCTATTAGAATTTACCTATAATGCTCAGTTTATATTGAGAGTTGGGTACTCTTTTTTATATTTTTGGCAGATTATTAATTTTATCCTAAACATTTTCCAGTATCAGCTGTTGGTCAAACACCATTTAAACAATCTGTTGAAAATAGATTTAAAACACTTCGTGTTTTAACTATTCCTGTTATGTCAAGCCTGTCAAACAAATAACAAATTGATGTGCTTTCAGCCATATTCTAAAAGTAATTCTTACAGAATAGACGGCATACCTCTCAGTCTGTGTCAAAATAATTGAAATAAGAAACTACAAATTAGCCAATTATGGAAACAAATAATTTCATAGCACATTTGACCATGACTGGGCCAAAAACTGTGCTACTGAGTCATGTGCATTGTATTGTTTAGTCAGCTTTCACATCCGACATCCTCATCTAGCCCCCCCCCCCCCAAAAAAAAAAAAAAAAATAAATAAATAAATAAATAAAATAAAATAAAAAATAAAAAGATAAAATTAAAAATTAAAAAATAAAATAAAGCAAAGAAAACCTAGGGGATTTGCATTATGACTAAAGTCTATATCAATGGCCGAAACTACTTACCGTCTTATCGAAGTTATCAAACGTAAAACACTTTAGGTGCTTGAGTTAACTGTTCAACAAACGGTGCTTATACTTCAATATTGATAACAACTGACACGGATTCTGAATGTCTGTACTTGTTACTATTAGTTTACTTGTTAAATCCAAATCACATATTTCACCCCGGGACTTGGTAAGTATCACGGGTTATAACACATTGTTGAGTACAATACTTAATTTACTTTAAAAAAAAAAAAAAAAAAAAAAAAAAAAAATACTTAATTTACTTGACGAATACACAGCTTTCAATGTTTTATTGCAGAGGCACGTGCCAAGTCAAATTGAATCAGTATCGTGTCAAACAATGTATAATGACCACACTATCAATGTGTAACATTTTTACCGAACTGTGTTTCTTTGAATCGATATCGGGGTTTTGCACTGACATGAAAACGAGGCTAGACAGAGTTCAATATGGTTTTAATATGGACCTTTTGAGATTCGTCATATAAAAACGACACTAATAGGTTACATCTTTTTAAGGTGGTTTTTAATGAATAGAAATGAAAAGAAATCTCAACATACTATCATATGTTAATAACATATGGTCCTCGGGGTGATAGAAGATCTTGTCAACCTGAGACCTGGCCGGTATATTACACCGAGGCGCAGCAGAGGGGTAATATGCCAGTTCAAGAGTTGGCAATATCCTCTATCACCCCGACAGCCATGTGTTATTTATTTTATATTACGGAATTAAAACTACAATATTTATATAGTTCGCAGTCAAGGAAATAAATTGAATACACATCATCATTTTTACAACTTAATTTTGCTCACAATAATAAACTTTAAGAATGATTTTATAAATTTCTACATAAATTTGAGTAACAATATAGTTAAACCTAAAAATTTGCTGAATATGGTGTTATGCAAGAGTTATATGCCCAGGGTGATATAAAATATCCTCCGGTGTATATATCCTAGGAGGGTGATATTCAGTCAGAAGACATAACAGGCCTATGGGAATTTTACATTGAAGAATATATTGAGGTATAATATAACCAATGATCTAATTTTATTTTGGCCGATTGTTCAAATGTAAGATAGAGCATTTGAGTGTACCGCCAAATTGAAAATGTAGCAGGTTTTGTATGCTTCAGCCTGTTCATCTGAATTGAATAAAATGAAATTTTTAAAAGGGATCGGAGGTTATGAAGCGCGAGTGCATATTACAGAAAGAATGCCAAAAGATAATATTCTGAAAAAAGCAAACAACATAATTATCCTAAGGACAATAATAAAGTATTCTAGAAGAAATGCTGGGACCATACAACTTTAGAAAAAATCAAACAGAAGGAGCTAAAAATACCACAATCAGTCTTACAAAACAATTATTTCGTGCTCGGTGATCTTCAAGTATCATATCGTATTTCACTTACGATAAATTTTACGATTCATTTGATATTGATGTGCTTAAAGAGCTTGAAATAAGTATTAAACACAATCAAGTAACAATGAGAAGAAAAAAAAAAGATTAAAAATGATATTTTCTATCTTGGTCAAAAATAATAACATGGGCCTAAGTGATTCATAAACAGTCTGCTACGTTAATGCTAAGGTATAATAGATAAATAAAAAGGAGTGAGACTAAAAAAAAAAGATTGGAGCACCACATTAATTTTACTAAATACCGTATTCCGGTATATACCGGTCAAGGCGCTTGAATCATAAAATGCTAAAATCTTGCCTTTTTACCCAACGGAATGAACTTTAATATGTCTAATTCATCTTTTTACACCGATTTATGTATGTTAATGAATGAAAAATGTAAAAATCGGCGAAAAAAACGATATTTGTCTATTTTGTGATCATGATTTCTGCAAGCGTCTACAGGTACTGCTCCAATCCTGTATTAAGTTAAATCCAATAAAAAGGTGTCAGTAGTACATGCTAGGAATGAAATCGGACCCGCAAAATTGAACAAAGCCCCGGTCACATATTCACGGATAATGCCACGGAAGAGCTACGGTCTAATCGTTCACGGATTACTACGGAAATGTGAAATTCCGTAGTCCGCTACGGTTCCAGTACGGACACACAACGGTATAAGTACGGAGTCCAACGGATTTACCACCAAAATCCCCCGGAGAGACACGGATTGTTACGGACCGACACGGTTTGATGCAGAGCGACACGAATTAGGACGGACGCACTACGGATACACTACGGTCTGCTACGGTATAAGCACGGGTTAGAACGAATAAGTACGGTCTAATACGGAGAAGAACGAATTGATACGGAGAAGAACGAATTGCCACGGATCTATACGGACCTAATACATCCGTCCACAATCTCTTGCATAAATGCCCCACAAGAAAAGAACACCTGGAAAACGAATTGCAGAGTTTAATGATTTCGGCGGAGAGGATTCGGCCTGATCGCGTCTGACCCCCGAGACACATCAGATCCGATGAAAGTGAATTTCTTGAAGGACGCTGGGTCCTCAACAAGTTCGGCCATGAGAGCCTCATACTAAACATGAAGGGGTCTTCGTAAAAGCCCATCTCCAGTCCACCATCTTGCCTGTCCTCTTTACCTGTGGACTAGTAATCATTAAAAAAAGTGTTGATCAAAACTGCTTCTCTTTTAATTTTAAAATATGCCGTTTTTTACAATAATATTTA